TTTATATAATTTTTTTGTTTTATTTTTTTTTACCATTTGATGTATTATTAAAATAATTAATTTTTTTAATTTATATGTAATTTATAATATTAAATGCATTCACTCATTTAATAATATGTAAAAATTATATAAAAAAATAAAATAAAAAATTATCTCTATAACACTACCTATATTAATTAGTGCATGAAAGAAAAAAGGGAGATTTGATTCGTGGTAGCGGGTTTTTTTTTTTTTAATTAGGTTGAATAATAAAAAATAACACTTTTTTGTGTTTTATTTATTTTATTTATATATTTGAAACTTGAGTTTATTTTTATTAAAAAAATCACTATTATGTCATTTTAAATCATTCGCCTCGATTTGAAATAATTAGTGTAATAAGAATGTGAATTTTTGGTTGATTAATTTAATTAATCAATAAGCCAATGGGGGGACCATACGCGTCAAATTAATTAGAAGGGAACTCAAAAGCACCTTTGTTTCACTATTATTTTTAATAATTTTAGTTTAAAATTTTAATTTTTAAATATAAATTTTAGATAAAAATTTAATAATATATAAATAATAATTAAAAAAATTTTCTTATACAAATTTTTTTTTGAGTATTCTTATTTAATTACAAAATTTTAATTATTATTAATATAATATGTTAAATTTTTATTTAAAATTTATGTATAAAAAATGAAAATATTAAATTATAACAATTAAAAACAAACAAAAAATATAATTTTTTTTAAATGATGTATAGGTTCTTTCATGTGTACGACATACCTAACAGCTATTAATAAAGGATAAATTCATTAGGGTATAATGATATCTATGGATTATCAATGACTATAAAATATGTTCTTTGCACATGCAAAAATAAAAACCAGCAATTTCTATGATAGTGAAAAAGCAAAGTTACTTTGAGGGCGCGATCTTCCAAAAAATGGAATCAAAAGAACAACCCAAGCATCTTGAATGTTGAATTTAATTGCCACCATGGTTCAAATTTTTGACCTTATTACGATGCATACCCATATCTAATTTGCTACACCTATGTATCCTTTTTTTCACTGAAGAAAGTCCAATAATTGAATTAATTTTAGTGATCCTACTAGGTAGATGTGTTGGAAAATTAAACAAGTACAACTTTCAGCAAAATCATCGACCAGCACGTGATCCATATGCCAGCCCTCAATGGGCCTGCTGTTACAATTGGTATGTTTATAAAGAAACAGAAAATTACTGCAGCGGGAGACAATGTAGCCCAATGAGCCTACTTTTACACTTTGGATCCTTACTCATAGAACTCTTTCTCTCCCTTTGTCGTGGGGGCCAGATGGATTTGGTCTCCGTTTGTCCAGGTCCTGGGCCTGTGCTACTGCCTTAATTACCATTGTCAAAGAAATAAAATAAATAAATAAATAACAAATTTAAGGTGTTTTTTTTAACACTTTCTTTAATATGGAAAATAAAACAACCACATTAAGGAATTAATTATTTTCTTATAAGTCAAATTTATTAGTGTATGCTACAAGACTCATTCTTAAATACGTTAAGAGTCAAAAGCTCCTAGGCAAGGGACCAAGTGTATGAAACACATGTTAATTATTATTATTATTATTGTATTTACTGTTAGATTTCTTTGAATCAACTTTTGTATGCAATTAGATGAATTCACCACCAACGATTTTAAGGGCATAGATCAATTTAATACTTTTAAGAAAATTAATTTTTTTGAACAATGAGTTAAACCTGTTAATTTATTAATCAGGTTTGTAAAACAATTCATTTATCAATGTGAATCAAAATCCAAGTCAATGACCTTAATTAGCAGTTGCAATTTATCTTATTCTTAATTTAGAAGGTGTTTGAGAAATTTTAAAATACACGTGTTTTAAAAGATAAAATTTTTTTATAAATTTAAAATTTTGTTTAAAAAATTTTTAAAATTAATTTTTAAAGATGTTTCTTAATAAATTTTAAAAAATTTTAAATGTATAAATTTTTTAAAAATTTGTTAAAAATTTGTTAAAAATTAAGTTTTAAAATTCTTCTCTAATAATTTTTTGTTTATGTTGATTATATAACGAGATACAACTTTATCTCATTTCTTATTTTATCTCATTTGCATGTCATGCGATTCAAATTTAAAATTTTTATCTCTGGCGAAAAAAACTTAACATTAAATTACTTAGGTCATTAGTTTCTCTAATAAAATTTTAAATTTATTTTAAATTAAAAAAATTATTATTCATTTTAAGTGATAATTTTTAAATTTTACTAAACCCTATCTTAATCAAAACAAAAATTATTACTTCACAGGATGTAGCTAGATTGGATCGGACACCACCCAGAAACATTGATCCGCAGTCAACTCAAAGCTTTGACTGTCATGACCGTGCCGTGTTTCTGAAAACGGAAAAATAATTTGCTCCTCGTTTCTCACGGTCAGAATGCATTGTCATGTCACGTGTGTGCGGTCGGCCTTTCAAAAGCATGTAAAATACTAAATGCACGTGGACCTTGAAGCCATTGTTGTGGCCAGAGAGAGAATTATTAAGACCACATGAAAACGATCAAGATTAAGAAAAATTAAAACGTTTTGAATAACAAAAACAACAGAAATAAAGTACTGAGGTCTCATAACTTGATGATTTTATATCTTGTTAAAAATGCATTCTCTTAATGTTGAGGTTAGGGAACGAACCCCCCACTCTTAATATAACCCGTTAAAAAAAACATAAATAAAAAAATTAAAATATTTTTAATGAATGAATATGACAAAAAAAAAAAAAAAAAGGGGGGGTTGGGTGGAGGAAATGCTTCCTTATGGTGTATAAGGCTGCCCTGACCATGAGAGTGATGGATTTGAAAATTTGAAGGGAAGGCTTATTCGTGGTGGAAAATATGAAACAAAGTTTTGTGGTGGTTCTTTGAGAAGATGGACAAGACGGAGGTCATAAAGAAAATGGTTGAAATCTTTTGTTTTTGGAAGAAGGGCTGAAGGGGCCAAGAAGGACAAGGACAAATAATTTAGGTACACAAGGGCTTCCATTATTAGGGGGACAAAGACATATATAGTATCATCCTTTTTTTTTTTTTTTGGTAACACTTTTACATTTGATTTAATTTTTTCACTAGTTATGTTTTTAAAATATAAGTTAAAATTGTACATGTTAAAAAAATTAAATTAAAGTACAATAATTATATTTTTTTATTTAATCCATATAAAATATGTATAATTTTAATTTAAGAATTGATTAAATTAAAATTAATTTTTATTTTTTATAATAATTAATAAAAAAGTATAATTAATATATATTTGATATGTATCTTAATGATATAAATTAAAAATATCCTATATAAAAAAGTTTTCTTATTCCTACGTGTAAAATGTTTTTAGTTAGAAAGGGCGCCATAAGGTTTGACTATGCAGAAAACAAACATAATTTTTCTTAATTGACGAAGTTTGGCCGGTCCAAAATCTTCTTGTAAACGCAAACAACGTGGCAGCACGAGGCGCGGGAATGGTTATGGCCATACTTAATACTTAAAAATGGAAAGGCAACACAAACGTTTATTTATTGTCATTTAAAATGTTAGTTTTGTTTAGTTTGATTAATAACAATAATTATTAGTTTTTAGATGATAAAATTATTGACATTTATTACTTAATATATAGTAATTATCTTTTTCACTTAAAAATTGTGAAAATTTTTAATTATTAAAAATAAAAAATTAAATGATTAAAATTTTGTATAAAACTTATATGTAAATATATATTTTTTAAAATATCATAACTAACTATTTATGAAAAAATAATAATATTTATATGATCATAACACTTTTAAGTGTAAACATAACTGTCAACAATCTAAATAATTTAGTGATAATATATTTTTTTTGAGGTAAAAGATCTTCTTAACTTTAAGTCACATGATATAAAATAAGTGATAAAAGATGGTTCCTTTCTACGCTGCAATAAAAAAAAAATATAGGCATAACCACTCCTTAGAGCAATGTTATGTCTACACAAAGAATTGTTACAATCATATAAAATATTATATTTAGTTTATTTGATTTTATTAATTTATAATTATTAAGATATTTAAATTTATAAGTTATAAATTGATTTTAAACTATTAATAAATAATAAATATCAATTATTTTATTTATTATCAATTAATAATTATAACTATTAATTAATTATTTTTAATAATTAAAATAACTACATATGTTTTTTTATATAACCTTAATAATTTTATGTACATTCGTAATGACGGCCCACGGAGGACTCTTCTTCAATGATGTGATTTTCATTTCGATTTTCTCTTTTAGGGGGTACTGGTATTGGTTGGGTGCACATGACTTCCGTGTATGGAAGCAAGAAATGAACTTTCTGTTGGGGACCCATAAATGGATTCAAAAACGTGTTTTGGGCTGTAAAACTGTAGAATGAAATGAATATATGGATGATTGGATTCTTTATCGTTTAATTAGGATTCCAAATTGGAGGAGCGGAGGGGTGATAATTGGGTTTTTTCTTTGATGGGTGACGAAAAAGTTGAAGTAAAGATGGGTTGCATGTGCAATTGAAACTTTTGTCATGTTCTGTTTGATAATGATTGGGGAAACTGGAAAGGATGAGTGTGGGAGAAGTCAACCCCTTTTTTAATCATTCTTTGTCGAACTCATTTCATTTTTTTCATTTTTCATCTTTTTCTTTTTTCTTTGAATCATTGCTTTGTTGTATCCATTTCATTTTGATATCTCTTTTGATCCTACGTTGTGAGTACAATCCACCATCTTGTACCGTTCGTTATTTAACAGTAGATGGTTGGTTGGTATTGAGATTCGCTCTCCAACTATTACTATTCCTTAGCTAGTGATCTCAAAGATTTAAAAATTTTGTTAATGAACTCATCAAAAGTAACATGATGACTCAATGAATCATGGATGTAAATATATATATATATATATATTTTATGTAAGACTAATCTTTTTTAGTAAATATCATGAGATACAAATATGATATAGCATGAAAAATCAAGGCATTTTGAAATTGTCACCAATTTCTATTCAGTACTTGCCATGACTTTTATAATTAGCTTAGTATCTAAAAAAGTAGTTTAGGGAGAGTTCTCTAAAATCGACACTATTATATGCACTACAATATAACCTAATTATTACATTAGTTTCAATAACCTAGGTACATATATAACTCAAGAAAATCTTAAAAAAACATGAGTTATTATAAACCCATAGACTACCTATAATCAAGATGTCATACATGACAAGATCCCACCAATTTATAATAAAGGAAATACAATATTTTAAAATAATAACACTTCCTATGTTTCCTCCATCAATATCCTTTGACATCCAATTAAGAGAGGCTAGTATCCCATTTAACTTCAAATTTTACAAACATATCTCCGTTTCCCATGAGATGAAAAGCAAGTGAAAAAAATAAGATCTCATCAGTTCTGTTCCACAAGCCAAGGCTATAGACCATTTGAGACAAAGTTCCACTGCACCTACCACATACTTGCCCTATTTTCGTCCTTGTTGATGGTCATGGTGAGATCACCCATTCCATGGTCATTGCCACTGAACCGTTGCCTTATTTAGGGGTGGGCATTTGGGCGGGGAACTGAATAGTTGCCTTGAAATCGAAAAAAAAAAAAAAAAAGAATTTAGTTCGGTTTCAATGGTTTTTGGGTTTTATTGTTTTGGTTTGATATTAACTGAATAAATTTTGGTTTGATTTTGATTGAACCTTTCATTAATCAAAAACCAAAATAAGCCTCCTAAAAATCAAAATTTAGATAAATATGACAAAATATGACATGAAATATAATCTATTATTAAAAAAAAAATTGATTAATGTTTATTTGATAAAAACCAAAATTGAATATAAAATAACCGATTTTGTTAGTAATCGAACTGATCAATTGGTGAAAAATTTGGTTCAAAATTTGGTTCAATTTTGGTTCTTAAAATTAAAGAAAAATTTTTTGGTAAATTTAAAATCAATTTCAATTTCAACTAAAACTGGTTTTGGCCCACCCCTAGCCTTATTCTAGACAAATCACATCAATCAACAATCCCTACTGGCCATCCACCACAGCCATTAATTACGTTCTTTCCATTTCAAACCATTGCCTTGCCATCCCTAGTACCTTCATTAACCGTGTCTTCCTCCTTCTTAGATAATCATGGTGAGATAATCCATTCCATGGTCATTGCCACTAACCCACTGCCTTATTCCAAACAAATCACATCCATCAGCAATCACCACTCGCCATCCACCATAGCCATTGGTTGCTTCTTTTCCATTCTAAACCATAGCACTGCCACCCCTAGTACGTACCTTCATTGGCTATGTCTTATTCCTTTCTTAGATAGTCATGGTGAGATCAACCATTCTATGGTTATCATTGCTGACTCACTACCTTAATTATTCAAAACAAATCACATCCATCAACAATCGCCACCTACCATCCACTATAGCCACTAGTCGCTTCTTTTCCATTCCAAACCACTGCCCTCCCATCCGAGGCAGAACC